ATCAGTATAGAATTTAGAGCTCTATTATTTGGTTAGTTAACTCCTCCATTTATTTTTGTCCCTTCATACATTTAATCCTTCTTGTGATATAGTTCTTCCTCATATTTCATAATTTTAGTCCATTTATTTTGATGCTGTATTAAAGTGCTGACAGAGTTTAGCACACATCATGGGTCATGCACATGATACATAACTTCACCTTAGGGTGAATTGTAATTTGAACAACTTGGAACTCCATGTATTGACAATTGAAAATTAGGGGCTTGAATCTTTTATAGGGAAAATAAAGGCCTATATGGTAATCGAGATAGGTTCTTAATGAAATTTATATTCACAAAGTTGAGCAAATGTGATAAAATGCATTGACAATCCTGGAAACTGCAGTCATTACATAATCCTCACATGTGTCATGTCTGACACTACCCACTAGATATATAATATAATGAAAATATTTTATTACTCCTATCGGATCATAGTATCCGTTTGCTCCCTCTAGGAAAACTCTGTGGGTCTTTTTTTAAATTTGTTTTTTGGTATCGTACTTATTTATTAAGGGTGTATGTATAAGTATCACTAAAAGATGATGGATACTTTTGTATCTTTATAAAATAAAATTGAAATTTTTACTAAACGACGAGGGTATTGCACAAACAATGTTCTAGGACACTAACGGACTATCATTTTTTCTTTTGTGAAAATTTCAAATTTACCATAATGATTAAGTTATGTAATAAAATAATTTTTAGACAAAAAGCAATCACTTTTTGTTATCTATGTTTTGGACCTAAGTGTCCTAATTATAACAATTTTGTCCTTATAACATTTTTTAAATAAAATATAAGTTGAGAGGTGTCTAACGGTAGGTGAACCTTATAGCTACTCTCTCCTCTCTTCTCTTTCTTCTTTTCGCTCTTCTCTCTTTCTTTTCCTCTTCTTTTCCCTTTCTTTCTCTAGTTTCGACACTTTTTACTGTTCATGGTACTGTTCATGACACTATTCACGTATATTATTGACACTATATTCTTTGACATGATATTAGAACAAGTTCTAAACTGATTCTTTGGTCTTCCCCTTTCTTTCCCTCTTTTTAGTCATAAAAATCTAGTTGTGGTGTTCAGTGCTGCTATGTGTGTGATTTCTCTCTCGAAATCAAGATCTATAGAGTGATCATGATTAAAAAAAAAATTAAGAGCCTAATTTGCATGTTCGATGCTACTGTGTGTGTGATTTCTCTCCTGAGATCAAGATCTACAGAGAGATTGTGGTCTAGTTTCAAGTTGCTGCTAGCCCATGTGAACCTTTTGAATTGGCTTCATCCTATTGGATGATGAGAAGATATTTTGAAATTTACATGAGGGGCACACCCCTCTCTCGTTATTCTTTATTTAATTTCCAATGTTCACAAGGACACTTTTGGAATGTTTAATTAGCATATGCGAAATTTATTTCAAACTTGGGACAATTTGGTAAAATGACCTAATTTAGGGTTTTTAAGGAGTGATAAGGGTGTCAAGTCTCATCCTTTGATCTTGATGGATAGATACTGAGTGGCTAGGATTATAGCCCTTTCATGTATCATGGATGATGAGCATTAAGGGTCTTTATCAATTCACTTAAAATGTCACACCTGAATTGGCCTATTGCCTCCATGGTCTCATTTCTAAACCCACCGCATAACATATGTTGTGAGAGATACAGAGACTAGAGAGAGGCTTCATGCCCACATTTTTCTTACTGCCTTTTTCCCTCTTATGATAAACAATCACATGGCCATTAAAGCTCTTCCCCATGGTAGCTAAGCTACTTGGTGCTTTACACTTGAGGTAACTTCCATAGCTCTAATTCTTTCATTTCTAGATTCTTTTGTTCATGTTTTCCTTGCTGTAAATCTCACTTTACAGTAGCCTTTTCATTTATATGTGCTTGAGAACTCATGATTTCTAAGCCCCTTGTGAAACTATGCATATATGCCATGCTATATGCATAATCTAGTTTACTACTTTGCTCCTAGATATAATTTTCTTCATCTTTTTCATTCCTGATTTTTCTAAGAATTCTCAAAGAGTTTTTGGCCATATCAGCAAGCATTTGATGTTCATTTGAGTACACCATATCATTGGCCCTTGATACTAGAGAGTCTCTTATGAAACTACTCTTGTTTTCTCAAGTTTATTTGCTCACTTTTTTCATCACCTAAGGTTCATCTTTCTCATTTTAAAGTTATTCAAGTGCTTTTCAAGTGTGCATAAGCTTCCCACTTCATAAGTGAGATCAACATTTGTATTTTATTGCCATTAGTGCTATCATCCATGGGACAAAATTAAGTCCCTATAAGGTCCAATTATGTGCGTCGGGCGCATAGGATTCGACCATTGGCTTCCCCACATTACTTTGCACGTATTTATGTTTCTTTGAGTTTATTATTGTTTCATGTCATCAAAAGTTGATTATATAAAGTTTAGAGTTGGTTTATGCAGAAGAAAAAAGTGTATGTGCAGTCTAAGTGCAAGTGTATGTGCTAAGTGGTGTAGTTTGCTTCTATATGACTAATGTATTCGTTTTTATGACTTGGGGAGTCCATGGAGTTGTAACTCTTTCATTTAAGAGATATTTGGGTCTTTATAAGTTCAAAATTGTTGCTATAATAGTAAGATATGTGAAAGTGTTGATTGTAAAAATGTTAAAGTTGAGTGCCTAGTACAAGTGTTGTATAAAGAGCATCCTAGATTCTATATCACCTTTAGGCAGAGAGACGCTCAAGGTGGTTTGGCTAAGGGACTATGTGACCCCTATATGCAGTTGGCTGGCCTGAGGGAACAAGGGTGAAAATCCTCATCATTACTATTGCACGACATGGATATTAGATAACTGCCCTGAGAAGCAACCTTTGTGGTATTTGTGTACACAGGCGGAAGAGATGACCCCCATGCACCATTGCGATAGTGTGTGAAGGTCTATATGACTTTAGCTTGTCCCTTAGGGGGGATCTCTAATCCATACACTACAATCATGCTCTCTTAATCTATTGGATGTCTTTGATAGACCAATCATGAACCCCTGCGAGGGGTTGTGGGCCACAAAAATTATTGGGTCAGTTTGAGACAATGAATGTGGGACACAATTGCTACAATAGATGGAGTGCCTCAGTGTATTCACATTATCTTTAACCCATTGGATTCCATTCCCATCAAATGTTACTTAAATATGTGTTATTTGAATTTTAGAATATTAAAATAAACTTTTAATATGCCCTTTATATTTCACTTTATCAAATGGAAATTTTTCAGATAGCTAAAATTTGATTTTTTCAGTTTTATAAATACAGAAGCAAATTAAAAGTAGGGAAAATATCTCCTTATCCCCTATATTTGACTTCTATATCTCATGAGACCTAAGGATTGAAAGTATTACTTGTAAGCAAAAGGTCTTTATCTTTTCTATCTTACAACCCTTTGGATCCCTTTGACCATGAATTTTTGACCCAAAGAAACACTAAAATGACACCCTTTCCAAATTTTTTCTTTTCCGTTAACATTAATCTCTTGAAGCACCCTCTCTTTCTCAAATCCCGTCTCTCTCTTTCAAAACTCTATCTCTCTCTCTCTAAAACCCAAAGTTGCAGAGAAGTTCCCAACTCTACATCGTGTCTCTCTCTCTCTAAAAATTATCTAGCCCCTTTTGCATCCCAATAAACTCTCTAAAAATACCCAGGGATCTGAAGCTCTATTTTTTCCACTCAGCCGCTCTTTGTTTTCAGCCACCAAAGCTCTCTCTTGCATACCTTGGTGGCTGGAAATGAAGAGCGGTTGAGCGAGAAAATCAATGGCTATTTTTAGAGAGTTTGTGGTATATTAGGGTGCAAAAGGGGCTAGATAATTTTTAAAGAGAGAAAGAGAGGAGAGATGATACAGAGAGACGAACTTCTATGCAACTTTGGGTATTAGAGAGAGAGATGGAGTTTTAAGAGAGAGAGATGGTGATTTGAAAGAGAGAGGGTGCTTCAAGAGATTAACGTTAATGGAAAAGAAAAAACTTGGAGAGGGTGTCATTTTAGTGTTTTTTTGGGTCAAAAGTTCATGGTCAAAGGGATTCAGGGGGTTGTAAGATAGAAAAGATGGAGACCTTTTGCTTACAAATAATGTTTTCAATCGTTGGGTCTCATGAGATATAGAAGTCAAAAATAGGAGATAAGGAGATATTTTCTCTTAAAAATTCTAAACGAATTTTAAAAACCCTTTTATGCTTTTTAAAATTCATTAGAGAGTATGCGGGAGCCATTTAATATACAGCCCCACCACATAAGAGCCCAAGTTGGTGGGGTTTGGGGCCCACTTG